TTCCATCTCCTTCTCTAGGCGAAGGAGAAAACACCTTCACCAAGAAACAAGGGTTCTCTCCAAGCTGGGCTTAAACACACCAACTTCCACCTAACTTTCATAAAACCAAACACTTGAAAGACAACCAACAAAACACTGAAAAGACCCAATCCTCCTCCCTCAGCACTAATCTATAAAAAAATATTTATAAGCCGATCTCCATCCTCTGGATGAAGCATCTAAAGTTCATCACTGAAAAAATTCACTTGCATTTCCACCTCCGCCCCCCCCCTCCCCCGCACCTAGAGAAATGCACAACAAGATATTCCATAGAATGGTCCTCAAGAGATATTCCTGCAATGAGGGAGCTTTAGTTTCCAGTGCTTTTAATTTCATTTATGCTATAAATTAATTATGTATGTATGGTGGAGAGTAACTCATTCAACCTAAGAGTCATAAAGTCAGGCACTTAGAAAAGAAAAGCGTGAAAGGGTCCTGATGTGCTCCAAAATGTTACAGTAAGTACATAAATCATTTTGTTTTCTAAAACAGCTGAGGAGGTAAATGTAATGCCTATAATTCTATTTTAAAAGGTCCAGGAAGCATGAGAATAGAATTTGTACAAACATCCAAAAAAGGCAGTTAGATTTGTCATCTTTTGTGACAAACTCAACTAAATGGTACGAAGCATGGCCACTAAACTAATATGTACTTTCAATGACAAAGACCTTGGCAGGGCCAGGTTCAAGGGCTCTGAGGCATAGGAGACCCACCGACCACTGGAGTCTCTCTTAGANGACGGACAGGGAGGCCTGGCGTGTTGTAGTCCATGGGGGTCGCAAAGAGTCAGACACGACTGAGTGACTGAACTGAACTGAACTGGCAGTCCAGTGTTTAGGACTCTGCGCTTTCACTGCCAAAGGCCCAGGTTCAATCCCTGGTCAGGGAACTAAGATTCCCAGGCATGGCCAAAATTAAGAGTTTTGGTGAAGTGGGGAGGGAGACTCTCTGAAGTGCTCAGCATAGACCCTGGCTATATAAGAGAATATGGTTTGATTTTGCTTTAAAAATTAGGCATAATACAATGACAAAGGGGTTGGGGGAGGGATGGAGTGGGAGACTTGGGTTAGCAAATGTAAGTTATTATATTTAAGATGGATAAACAACAAGGTCCTACTGTACAGCATAAGGAACTATATTCAATATCCTGTGATAAACAATAATGGAAAAGAATATAAAAATAGTGAAAATAAAGTTTAGAACCACAAAAAAATCAGGCATAACAATTTCTGGTGATGGCTTTTCCCATAAGCTCCCAATTCCCTAACTGAGGAGTGAATGTCATATAATGAAATAATATAGGAGATAATGAATGTACTCAAAAGTTCTTTGCTCTGGGACTCAGAAATGAAATAGCTCAGAGAAGTACGGTACATGCAGTAAGGCTGTTAAGGTAGAGAATGTAAATTAACGACCACCACCCCAGCAATAATTGTTCTAGTAGTGGGAGGAGCCGTGGCCACTCTTAATTCAGTGCCAATCAATGGTCAAGTGCAAACAAGTACCCTGATCCTACAGCCAGCCTGTGGAAGTAGGCATTATTGGCCCATTGTTAAATATCAGATCACTGAACAGAAATGAAACTTTGGAGTCATTCGGAATTTTTTTAGTCATATGATTTTCATATTACTATTTTTAAAAATTTTTATTGGAGTACAGTGCTTTATAATGTTTGTTAGTTTCTTCTGTACAACAATGTGAGTCAGTTATATGTACACATATATCCCCATTTTTAAAGATTTCCTTCTCATTTAAGTCATCACAGACCATTGGGTAGTGGTGATTCATCATGTGGATTTGTAAACAGTGGATTTGAGAACCTGAACCAGTTAGACTTCAATGCCTGGGGTTCCTTCCCTCTGCCAGGTTCCTCTCTGCATCCTTGGTGCCTGGTGCAAGCATCACACTAGTAGGTGTGCAAATTCTATATGGGGAAGGAAGTGAGGTGAGGGCTACGGAAACCATTATAATGTCTGAGCCCATAGTCAGGGGTGGTCATTCCAATTTAGCTCTGCATTGTACGCAATCAGAAAACTAAGATCATGGCATCCGGTCCCATCACTTCATGGCAAATAGATGGGGAAACAGTGCAAACAGTGGCTGACTTTACTTTTCTGGGCTCCAAAATCACTGTAGATGGTGATTGCAGTAATAAAATTAAAAGATGCTTACTCCTTGGAAGGAAAGTTATGACCAACCTAGACAGCATATTAAAAAGCAGAGACATTACTTTGCCAACAAAGGTCCATCTAGTCAAGGCTATGGTTTTTCCAGTAGTCATGTATGGATGTGAGAGTTGGACTATAAAGAAAGCTGAGCGCCGAAGAATTGATGCTTTTGAACTGTGGTGTTGGAGAAGACTCTTGAGAGTCCCTTGGACTGCAAGGAGATCCAACCAGTCCATCCTAAAGGAGATCAGTCCTGGGTGTTCATTGGAAGGACTGATGTTGAAGCTGAAACTCCAATACTTTGGCCACCTGATGCGAAGAGCTGACTCATTTGAAAAGACCCTGATGCTGGGAAAGATTGAGGGCAGGAGGAGAAGGGGACGACAGAGGATGAGATGGTTGGATGGCATCACCGACTCAATGGACATGGGTTTGGGTAAACTCCGGGAGTTGGTGAAGGACAGGGAGGCCTGGCATGCTGCGGTTCATAGGGTCGCAAAGAGTCGGATACGACTGAGCAACTGAACTGAACTGTATGCAATCAAGGCTAGGGTGCTGCCCGTGGAAGAAAAATGATGCAACAGGGTTGTGCTTTAGCAATCTGCACAGTATCAGCATTTCCACCCCCTTTTCTTTTTTAGCTTCAAAAACCCAAAAATAACACCAAGAGTTTGACAGGATACTGCTGTTTAGACACATGAATCACCTTGCATTTTTGTCTCGTTCTCAGATCACTCTAGATGACATGACCATTACATGGACCACATGAGTTCTCTGCCCTTTTCCTGGCAAACTTGTCTTAAACCTCACTTCTGCCAAGAAATGCCTCTTTCTCAACAGGCCAAAATAATAACAAGACATGAAGCTGTCCTCTTTGCCATGGGCTCCCCACTGGCTACATGACTTATCTAAATCTTCAGGAGGAGAAAGACTCAATCAATGTGTGGTTGGAATGTTCTCCATCACCATCACCATCATTATCATCATCATCACCATCACCACCATCATCATTACCATTATTATCATCACCATCATCACCATCATTATCATCCTCGTTATCACCATCTTTACATCATCATCACCATCATTATCATCTTCATCTCACCATCATCATCCTCATTATCACCATCCTTATCGCCATTATTATCATCACCATCACCTTCATCTCACCATCATCATCACCATTATCACCACCATTACTACCATCACCATCATCACCACCATTACTACCATCACCATCATCACCACCATTACTACCATCACCATCATCACCACCATTACTACCATCACCATCATCACCATCACCATCATCACCATCACCATCATATTATGATCTGCAGGGAGCAGGAGGCAGGATTTGTATGAGTTTGGAAATTCACATTTGGAGTCAACCAAAGATGGGTCAGAAACCTCTGGACCAGGTGAGGTTTGAGGTTTTATAGACACTACCATATTTAATTCTGTTCAGTTCAAACACCAGATCTGCAGAAACTAGGAGAGCCTGGAATAAGTGCAATGTCAATTGCAACCCTCAGAGGTAGATATTAGGGTTTCCACTTTATAGCTAAGGAGTGAGGCTCAGAGTTTTTAATTTGCTAAATCATTTGGCAATACAGCCAAATAAAGGCAAAGCTGGGTTTCAAACATCAGCTGACTAATGGCAAGCCACCTTCTTATCATTTTATCCCAGTGCTCCAAGATAGGCTGGTAGTGTCCTCTTCGCCTTTCCCCCGCATCATCCATCCTGTCCGGTGCTGCCTCCACATTCCTTCCTATGAGGAAAGAGTATCGACCATTTCTGCCCTGCTAGCATTTCTGCAGAGGTCTGGGATTGAAGCAAACAAAGGTCTCACACCCCTCCTCTGAGCATCCGTGGCCGCTCTGATTAGTATGGATGATTTGGGTTAAAGAATCATCAAAATTCCTTTTTCATCTTTGAGATCTCTATGCAGATATCTTTTTTGCTAAATGTGGTAAGATGTTAAAATTCTAACGCACCTGTGAGCTGCCTTGTTAGTCTTGATTCTTTGATTAGGAAGCACATGGAAAGTAAGAAATGGCTTGACATGAGCTGGTGGGATGGCAGGGCTCTGTGCCTCCTGGTGGCTTCTAGCAGTGTCCCCTCTTTCCTGCAGCCCCCCCACACCTGCACATACCTCTCTGCACCTTCCCTCATGCAATGCACAGGGGATTTTTTTCCATCACCTGACCTGTACAATGTTAGTAGTAGTGTTAGTCACTCAGTCGTGTCTGGCTCTTTGCGATCCCACAGACTGTACCCTGCCAGGTTCCTCTGTCTATGGGATTCCCCAGGCAAGAATACTGGAGTGGATTGCCATTCCCTTCTCCAGAGGATCTTTCTGACCCAGGGATCAAACCCGGATCTAAGTCACTCTTGGATGTTCTGTACTCAACTTTGTACATGTCTGGCTGTCACTCAACTTCTCAGCGATGAGGCTGGTAGCTGTTGAACCGAGATGTGAAAGTGGGGTGGAGGTGACACCCGAGGGGAAACAAAGTGAGCTAAACTACAAATACCATGATGACAGGATAGAGCAGCAGGGATCTGGCAGCGGGGACGTGACAAAAAGGCATGAGGTCAGTGTCACAACCTAGGGGGCACAGGGATGATGCTCTGTGTTTCATTTCTCCACTGACACATCCCTAAATGTTTCTGATGCTGTCTTAAAACATGTAGAGACTATCTAAGCCTTTGTCAGCCACCCCCATCTCATTCCTGCCTCTGCTGACAGTGGGACCATTATGACATCTTAGATTCAGAGCATTGACTATGGACTGTCCTGCGCCTATACCATAGGTTATGATGCTCACCTGACTATGTGTGTGTGTCTGTAGGGGGAAGGAGCTTTGCCTCAGCAGCAAACCTGACCAATGTCTCCTGGTATGAAGATTATTTTTTAAATGTTTTATTTTGATTGAAGTATGTGCATGCATGCTGAGTTTGTTTCAGTCGTGTCCAACGCTTCGTAATCCTATGGACTGTAGCCCGCCAGGCTCCTCTGTCCATGAATTTCTCCAGGCAAGAATACTAGAGCGGGCTGCCATGCCCTCCTCCAGGGGCTCTTCTCAACCCAGGAATCGAATCTGTGTCTCCTGCAATACTGGCAGATTATTTACTACTGAGCCACCGGGGAAGCCCCAACTGAAGTATAGTTGGTTACAACATCGTGTTAGTTTTAGGTATACAACATAGTTATTGAGTTACACACACACACACACATACACACACACTTTCTTTTTCAGATTCTTTTCCCATATAGATTATTACCAAATATTAAGTAGAGTTCCCTGTGCTATACAGTAGGTCCTTGTTGTTATCTATTTTATATATAGTAGTGTATATTTGTTAATCCCAACCTCCTAATTTATTCCTACCCTTTCCCCCTTGAAGATATTTATGCATAATTACTGTTATTTACCACCAAGCAAAAGACACGGGCTAAGTGACAAAGGCAGTTACCAAATATTGTGCCCATTTTCTCTAAACCAGTCACAAAAAACAAACAAAAACCACAACATCAACTGCAAGGGCTCTGGAGGTAGTGTGTTGCTTTTTGGGTGGATAATTCTTAGAAGTAAGATGGGAAACAAGACTGCTTCAAGTTAGGAGGAAGACGGACGGCAAAAGGATGACTGTTGTTATTTCTGTTTAGTTGCTAAGTAGTGTCTGACCCTCGAGACCCAATGTACTGGAGGCCGCCACGCTCCTCTGTCCGTGGGATTTCCCAGGGAAGAATACTGGAGTGGGTTGCTGAGATCTCCAGGGGATCTTCCCCACCCAGGGATCGAACCCACGTCTCCTGCATTGCCGGTGTAGTCTGTACTGCTGAGCCACCAGGAAAGCCCCCAAAGATGACTGCTTATAGGATATTCTGCCCTCTCCTCCATTCCTGGCCCTGGAGCTGGTGGTCACATAGGACTGTTGGACCCCATAGAGGCCAATCTGGTCAGACTCCCTTGCCACTGGACTCCAGTATCCTGGGCTGCAGAGATGGCTGCATCTTTGGGGCTTTAGACATCTGAGGGGCAGCGAAGTGCACAGAACCTCCCCTCCCAGAACCACCCTACAGTGCGTGGTCAGGGTTAATAGTCACAAGTGTACATTACTGTAGGAATGAACAAAGAATGAATGAATCAGTGAGTAACCGGGGCTAACCCAGGCATTTGGGTCTGGATGGGGTGAGGAGATGCTGGTGTGAGCACAGGTGCCTCCAGAAAGACACACAGGTCCCCGGCCTGACGCCAGTGATGCTGCAGCCAGCAGTCCTACTCCAGCCCTGCCCCATCTTTCTCCAGAGCACTCAGCACCATCTGACCTATTCTATTTTGTTTGTTTGTTTCCCAACAAACAGGTGAGCTCCACAAAGGCCGGGCTTTTCATTTGCTCGGGTCACCACTATTTCCATAGCAGCCAGAACAGTGCCTGACACACAGCAGTCCCTTGGTGGATTTTGTGGCATGAGTGAAGGGTTATCTCTGTCTTCCTAGAATGGAGGGGTCCCTGTGGCCCTGTTTCCAGAGTGTCCTCACCCTCTGGAGAAGAACTGTTGGTGGCAGCAGTGGGTCACGGCATGTTCAGGGCTCAGGGAAGAAAAAGCAAGCAAGGAGGCCCATCAGCTCCCAGACCGTGCCAGGACGGCTGGGTGTGCTGGGGCATCGCTAATTAGGGCGACCTTGGCCATGCCTTCCTGTCCACCACGGGCCTGAAAAACACATACCAGTGTTGCCTGGAAAGAAGATACCCCCTCCAATTTCCAGAATGCCCGAGTTAGACAAGAAAATAACCACTGAAATGCTTTTCAGCAACGTTAAGAGTTTGCTTTCAGCTGAAGGAGAAGCTGACAGTTCACAGCAAGAGACCCAGCCTTCTAGGTCTGCACTCCAAACAAAGAAGCAAAAACCATAATTCTGAGTCATTCTGCCTCTGATATGAGATGGGCACGTGTTCTGTGCCCAGTTAAATAATTAGCACTCCGACTCTTACTTTTGAAAGCAGCTCTGATTAGATCAGCCCTGGATTCAAAAACTTTCAGAGGCTCCCACTGCCTGGGGAATAAAGCCCCAGTCCCTTGACCCAGCGCCTAAAGGTTTCCCCATGGATAGTGGTATGGTAAATCCACCAAATGTCTGCTTAGTCCTGCTGTCAACTGAAGCCTGTCCTCGCACTCAAGCCACCGCCCAGACAGTCTGCCCTGCCTTCTCCTCCTTACATCCCATTCTGTTTTCATTTGGGTGTCTCTCCCACTTGGATGTGAGCTCCTAAGTTCAGGAACAACATCTGTGTCACCCACACATGCCCGCATGCCTCGTGGATGAAAAATGTCACCTGCCATATCAGTAAACAAACGATGTTTCAACCATCAAGCTGTCACATTACAGCCACCTCGACAGTGAGTGTGGAGGGGACTCAGGATGGAAACAAACAGGATACCCATCTCCAAATCCTCAGCCACCCCCAACCCTGCACCCTGAAGGGACTCGGGATGGGAAAGCACAGAATACTGGCCCTGGGTAGCTGAGTTGTATCAAAGGAATGATTTCAAAGGGCCCAGACTCTACATCTTGCCACACATAGGAAAGTGCTAAATTCCTTAACTCTGAGATATCTGGTTTTCTTTAATTAACAGTAATCTTTTAATGGGGCTTTCCAGGTGGCACAGTGGTAAAGAATCTGCCTGCTAATGCAAGAGATGTGCGTTTGATCCCTGGGTTAGGAAGAACCCCTGGAGTAGGAAATGGCAACCTACTCTAGTATTCTTGCCTGGGAAATCCACGGTCAGAAGAGCCTGGTGGGCCACAGTCCATAGTGTTGCAAAGAGTAGGACATGACTGAGCAACTACGCATGAAGGCAGTGTTTGGATGTTCTGACTATCTGGTCTTTGTTGCAAAAACTCCTATATATTCTGGCTCCTCTCATACATCTTCAGAGTAATTCTTTAGTGCTGAGAGGGTGTATCTTAGGCTTAAGTTCTTAGAATGTCTGCTGAACAAAATATAATTCTTAACTCATGTTGCGTACTTTTTTCAGTCAAATCCTTGCCACACAGACTTTGGGCTTGTGCTTGTTCAACGGGCCTGGCCTCCACTTGCCCTCAGTCCTATCCTTTACAGAGGGATAGTGGTACAGTAAGCCCCCAACACATGAGCAAGTTCTGTAAGTCCAGTTTGTTCATAAGTCCAACAACGTTAGCCTAGGTACCCAACTAATTCAATCAGCTATATAGTACTGGACAGTAACAGGTTTACAAGATTCCTCACAGAAGTAACAAATAAAGCTCTCTACGCCAGGGTTTCCCTGGAGGTTCAGCTGGTAAAGAATCCACCTGCAATACAGGAGACTTGGGTTTGATCCCTGGGTTGGGGAGATCCCCTGGAGAAGGGAACAGCTCCCCACTCCAGTATTCTGGCCTGGAGAATCCCATGGACTGTATAATCCATGGATGGCCTCGCAAAGAGTTGGACATGACTGAGCAAACTTTACTTTCACTTCACTTTCACACAAATAATACATAAAAAGCAAACACAGAAAATAAAGAAGACATTTTAAATCTTACAGGACAGTACCTTGAAAAATACAGTAATATAGCACAACAGCTGTGCATATTCCCATCTGTGAAAGTTTGCAACTTAAAGGTTTCTACGTAGGAGACTTACTGTATTGCTAAAGACCCAATCTGATGACTTTTCTGCCATCCCCACTCCCTCCCAACATTCACACCAGAATCTAAACCTCTCTGCATGCACTGGAGTCTAGAGTCTGCTCCCTCTGCCCTCACCTCCTCCTGCCCTCCCCCACTCACCTCCCACACAGGATCAGAGCTTCTCAGGCACGAGGCTCTCCGCCAGCCTTGATGCCCTTCCCATACCCACCCAGGATTCGGCACCTACAGGTCCAACTGCTCCTCTTCTAAGAGACTGCTCCTTGGTCATTTCCTCCAAGAAACCCCCCATCTGCCCCAGGACCCAAGTACCTGGACCTCTCCCCTGGGGCCCCCCTGAATACCCTCATCCTGTTTGTCTATCTGACTCTTCCAGAGATGTGAGCTCTTTGAGGACAGAGACCATGGATAATTGTGTCCCTGGGAAGATGTGCAATTACCATTTCCAGAAGGCACAGACCTCCAGATTGGGATGCCCTGCTCCTTAGACTTTGAATGTTACAGCTCCAAGACCCCTTGTGGATCCCGCGTAAGTCTGTCCAGCCAGAAGCACACACCTGGCTCCTGGGGACTGAAGATAGACAGGAGGCGTCAAAACTGTGTTCTCTCCTTTCCTGGCTCAGAATGTCTGTGGGCGTTTCTGAAGCAGAATCAACTGGCTAGCTTCCAGAAGGCTGAAACTACAGAAGGCAGAAGGAAACATCGGTCACCATGGCATGGTTCACTTTTTTGGCAGCCCCAAGTTAGCAGAAGGTACTAGCACTGGCTCATGAAAAGAGGTCACCACTGGGAGAAATTCCTGAAAGACCTTCTGATAAGGTCACTAGTCCCCCAGATCTGCTCTGGCTGAGTCCTGCTTGCCGTGGAGGCCTCTGGGATCAGAGACACCATCCACCTTTCTCAGGGTCAGAGAAGCTAGAAGCCTATATGTCATTATCAAGCCTGCCCTTGACAGTCTTTCCAGGGTCACGAACCTGACGTAGCTTCCCCTGTGTGTCTCCCTCTGGCGCCGGCTTCACACAGACTCCTGGGAGCTGAACCCCCTCTCAGGTCACGCCTGCAGTTTCCACAGCACCCACATGCATCCCTCTGGTCAGAACCCTCCCTGAGTACTGAGCACTTCAGGGCATCTCAGTGCCCTGGCTGGCTGTCAGTGAGAAGCAGGGAAGGTGAGGGTGGGAATGTTGATGATCTGGGGAAAGAAGGAAGTTTTTAGTGGGTTACTGGGGAGACCACAGGCTTGAGGCTGAAAATTCAGGACAGCTGGGTTTGGGAGGTTTTCACACCCACACTCCAATTCTTGACAACAATGCCTGATATGAGGAAGGCCTGATCATTCTATAATGCCTTGTGCAGCCAGCAGACCTGCAAGCTGATTTCCTTTTATTTATTTTTTTTTGGTTGCATTGTGAGGCATGTAGCATCTTAGTTCCCCAAGCAGGGATCAAACCTACGCCCACTGCATTGGAAGCTCAGAGTCTTAACCAGTGCACCACCAGGGAAGTCCCTGCAAGTTGATTTCTGCAAGGTATTATACCTGCATGACTCTGCAGGGGTGGGCAGTCCTGGCAGACCCATTCCTGCAGTTTAAACAGGCCAACATGAGTTGGCCTAACACTGGGCCCTAAAGGCTGTGAAATGCCATAAAAATGCCAGGAACTATCACTGTGTTGTGATATCCTCTATGGGGTACAAGGCAGCTGATAAAGTAAGCATGGGCTGCCTTGTACCCCATAGAGGATATCACAACACAGTGATAGTTCCTGGCATTTTTATGGCATTTCACAGCCTTTAGGGCATGGTGTCTCATTTGATTACACACCAATCTTTTGTGCTAAATGGTGCATGTGTCATCACCCTCTGTTTACAAACAAGCATCTGAGGCTCCTGGAGCTTAAAAGACTTGCCCAAGAAGTCTCCCCTCTCTCGCAAGTGGCAGCAGATCAGGACTCAAACATCCTTGGGGCCCAAAGAGAGTCACCTGCCAACTGATATGGTATGGTGAGTCCTGCTTCCTATGTTTCAGCAGGTCAGCAGCATTTTAAAAACCTGAGATTGAAGAACTCCAGCGCCTTCACAATCCAAGGGCAGCCCGGGGGTCAGCAGCACCAGCAACTCTTGGAAGCTCATTAAGATAGCAGAACCTCATGTCCACCCAGACCCACGGAATCAACGTCGGCCTATCGACAAGATCCCAGAGACTCAGAGTTTGAGGCAATATATGATTTCCTCCCTGTGCTTTGGCTGACTTTTCTAGTCTCACGTTGGGGACCTAGCCTCAGTGGGGAGGTCTCGAAGGAAAGAAACTTCTACCTGATTGTTTCCTGAAAACCACTAGAAAAGTTGGCTTATCTGGCCAGCTTCACACTCTGAAAATGGTCTCTACCTTTTTCCTTCTCTCCCCAGCTTCCTGCTGAAACTTTCACCCAGAGATACATCTGCTCAGTTGACTCCAGATTTTTCATTCATTTCAATAAAAGCACAAACATGGAAGATGAGATTTCAGTTTGCCTTGATTTCTGGGAATCCTAATATCTGTTTAAAGAACTCCCAATGTGATAGGGGATTAAGATGTACAAACTACTGATACCAAAAAGGACCCAATGGGGCTCCTGGCACAAAAGCTTTTCTGTATCCTCTGAGAAATGGAGTATTTCCTGTATAGCAGTAAAGAAGGTTGTCACAGTCATCAGTGATTCCAGCCCTCCAGGGCACTCAGGAAGGAGAGGAATACCTGCACAATCTGGCAGCCACTAGGCTGCAGCCACTCCCTGTGGTGAGCATCGAGGAACTCACGATGTGAAGAAACAGGATACGGGCCCCAGGATAGCTGAGATGCATATGAAAGGAGTGATTTCAGTGACCCCAGACTCTTGCATCTTTTCCATACATAGAAAAGTGGTAAATTCCTTAACTTGGGATATCTGGTTTTCTTTAATTCACAAAAATACTTTTGATGTTCAGACTACTTGCCCTTAGTTGCAATCTTCTATACAACCTGACACTGCCCACCCCCACCTTGCTGCCTCCATCCCACTCCCACCCCCCACCCAGGCTCCTAGGAGCAGTTTTCTCAGGTCACTTGAGATGCTGTCTCCCAGCCCTGAAGTCCTAAAAATCCCTGCTGAATAAAACGTAACTCTCAACTTTTAGGTTGTCACTATTTTTTAAGTCAACACCCCCAGTTTTTGATTACAGGAAACAGGCTGCATTCAGCCTCCATGGCCTCCCCTGAGGTCCAATGAGCAGGTTCAAACAGATGCTAATCAGAGAAGGGAGGGGATTGGGAGATGAGGAAGGAACAGGCAAGAAACAGCAGTGCAGCCGTGGGGCAGGGTCTTGGTTCCCCTCAAGGGATGCACAGGAAAATATGATTGAGCCATTCTGCAGACATTGAAAACCCCAGCAGGTGGGAGAAGTTAACTGTATGCTGCCCACAAGCATGTAGACCCCAGACCAACTGGAACAGAAGGATGATGAAGCTGACTCCCACTTTCCTCACCACCAACCAATCAGAAGAATGCTCGTGAGCTGATCATATCCTCTCTGAACCATTAAGATGAAACTCCTCACCCCGCCCTCCAGGTCAGAACACACAGTTTTGAAGGCATTAGGCTGCTGTGGTCCTCTTTGCCTGGTAAAGCAATAAAGCTATTTTTTTCTACTTCACCCAAAACTCTGTCTCTGAGATTTAATTTGGTATTGGGGTATGGAGGCCTGATTTGGCCTCACTATTAGGTATAAAACAAACTACATGGATATACAGTTCAATGTGGAGAAAGAGCCAATATTTTATAATAACTATAAATGGAGTACAGCCTCTAAAAACTGTGAATTACTAGACTGCACACCTAAAACTTATATAATATTGTACATCAACTAAACATCAATAATTAAGGAAAAAAAAAAAAACAGCCAAAAAAAAAGAACTCCCAGTTTGAGATGTGACATAGTCCTGAGTTTCTAGGTAAAGTATGTGATGTTAACATTTTCCTCTCCCTTTTCTGAGAAAGAATATTTCACTTCTCTAGTGGTGTGCCTAGATTAACTGACATGCCCAATCACTGACTGGTAAAATCAGCAGCTCTGTTTAGACACAAGCAGAACACAATTTATAACCAGAAAGATTTTTTTTTTAAGTGGTGAGCTCAGCATTAGTACAGAAACTGGGCAAGGTTTTACCTGGCTTCTCTAATCAAGTTATGGTCTTGCCCCCTGCCCTCCAATGTTCTCCAGCTGACATAATAATCACTATGATTCTCTTCTGATTTTTCCCAGATATTTTTAACAGGCAGACCATAAGCTGAAATCAAGTTGTGACATCTTTCTATGTTTAATCTGCTTCAGTGATCTTTCATTTCTTCCCCCTACCTTGACCTTTTAACCAACTGAGCTTGGTTCCTTCTGTGTTGCTTTCAGCACAATTAATTAATGGTGCTGGACCTGCACTAAATGGCCAGCGATGCCAGTCTTGTCCCAAGGTGAGCGTTATGTTAAAGACACATGCTTAGGGCAGTGGCTGGTGTTGCCTCTCAGGGATGACCTCTTTGAATCCACATGTTGGAACAAAGCAGAAAAAGATCATTTCATCTTCCCTCCAGTAATTCTCCATGAAGAAAGGGCACATATACCCATTTGGCAAGAGGCAGCAGCATACTATCCTACTCTGTTTAAAGAAAGGCAAACTCCTAATTACAAGCTGAATACATTCAGGGCTACTTTACTGTTAATGCATTATTTACTGAATATTTGCTTTTCTCTGTGACTAAAAGCAGGCCATTATTTCTCTCCTGACTTTGGGACAATCTGGGGCTCTGTTAAAGTTTCTAAACCCATCTGTTTCAGTCTGCTTTTAGCTGCTGTTCAGAAGAGGTACATTAAGTGCCTCTTGAGTGATTTCTGGCTGGGCCATGAAGCCACTGATTTAAGTCAACACTGACAATGTCCCAGGCCTGGGCTCCGGTTCTGAGTCCCAGGCTGCCACATGCCTGTCTCCAGAACTCACTTCCAGTCCTTTCCACTAAGGGATGCTGGTCATTCCAAGCTCACCAGTGCTCCTTCCTCTAGAAAGAGTGCTCTGACCTACCGCTTGGCCTTTTAAAGGAGCCAGTCCAAATTATCTCAGAACATTCAAAAACTTTGGTGCCTCACACCTCCAAGTTGAATTAGACATTGACAAAATGGTAGAATCTCAGAAAAAAAATTCTGATCAGAGTATAACCTTCATTCCTAAAACCTCTTTACTCCTTGGACTCAATGATGTTTTTAGCTACCTTGCAACTTCTAAAGACAACTTTTCAGACCGGGGCTGAAGTTTGAACCAAATGGTAAATGGGACATGGCGACTGTGTAGGGGGTTTGGTGGGTGGAAGTAAGGGGGTGGGGTGGAAAGAAGGCAGTGGTGAAGGAATAAACAACCCTCAACTTCCAAATTTTTTTCCACCTCTGAAGCTGATGAAAGATAAATTCCCCAGGCCCACCTGGTCACCTTGGCCAGTATTCTTTCCTGTTGTTGTTTTTTTTTTTTTCCTGAGTAGATCTGATTTGGGCCAACAGTAAGGTCCTTGACATAGTCACAGAGGACCTCAGCTTTGGGAGACCATGAAATCTAGGGATGGGCATAGATGATACCCCAGGGCCAACACTAAGCATCTGACTCTGGAGGAGGTTGGGGCACCCTGCTGTACATTGTGGCAGAGCGCTGGCATCTGGACTTCTGACCTCTTTTAAAGGGAGGTCATATCAATGGGAAAATATGCTTGCGTAAATACAGTCAACAGAGATCAGACAACGCTTTGACATGGATGGCAACACTGCCAGATATTCAGACACCCCCCTCCAACCACATAATCAAAACAGGAAATGGCTTGTGTCCAGGGGAAAAGAGTAATCAAGTCTTCGCCATGAGCATCCGCGGGGTCGAGAAGGTAAGTTACAGGGAGTAGCCACTTCACAGGGCTCCGTGGACTGGGCTCAGCCCAGTCTGAGGCGGATAACAGAGCCATACAGTTTTCCCGCTTCTACCCCTTCTGGGGACTTCCCACAGCCCACCTCTGGAAGCTGCTGCCTTCTCCTGCCTGCTAGAAAGGAGCTCCTAGGGCTGAAGGGCCAGAGGCAGAGGAAGGCTGTTCACCACTTCTGAGGGGAATGAATTCTGATCCTGGAACCTCACTAAGACAATGAGTGACACGGTGGCTTCTCCCTACTGTGTCTGCTGGCCCATCTCATCACCCTCCCGGCAGCATCAGCGTTCGGGAGAGCAGTCCCGTGCTGAGCCAGGATCCCAGCGGAGGTGCCTACCTGTATCTCTGCTTCACTGACTGCTTCTCCGCTGACTTGCAGATGTGCCCCGCGTAGTACAAGGGGAAGAATAAAAAGTTCCAGTTGGTGGCAAACCACGTCAGGGTGAAGGGAGCATCGAACTTCCGGAAGGTCAGCTTGGCGAGCTGCGTGGCGCCCGCCCAGGAGGCGCACACGCACAGCACCACCGCCAGGCCCCAGAAGATCTTCTTGAGCTGCGCGCGGGAGCATCTCCAGCAGCGGCGGCTCGGTCTCCCACCGGCCTCGGTCCCCGCCGGCGCCTGGGCCTCCGCCGGGCCCGGGGAGTCCCGGGGGCGCTCCTCCCCTGGCGGCAGAGAAGGGAGAGGTTAACTGGGGCCCCCACACCTTCACGTGGCCAGGCTGAACGGGGTTGGGGTTAGAGGGATGCCAAGAAGGTAACCGACCCCCCACTGCTATTGTTATTGCCACCCTGCGGAGGAGAGTGTGGATGGGGGAATGGGGGCCTGGAGGCAGCTTCCTGAAACAAAAGTTGAAGACGTTGTCTCTGGTTTTCTTATCCTCTAGAATTGCTGTTGTTGTTTTATCGCCAAGTCGTGTCCTACACTTCCTCTAGAAGCTTGAACCCTAAAAGATGGTTCAGTCGTGGGCTGGCAGCATCAGCACCACCACCAGCTTGCTGGCATTAAGGAATCTCCAGAACCCTGGCATCAGATTGTGTATTTCAGCAGGTGATCTCTGTGCACACCTGGAGAAGCGGAAATATTTCTCCAGAATGCAGAGTGGCTGAAATGTTTTTTCCAAATATCTCACCAGTATTTCAGCTCACAGGGACTGATGTGCAGTCCCAGCGCTGGGCAGTGCTAGGGGCTGGGGATTCCCTCCTGAGGAGGTCACAAGCATTGACCTCTAGAAGCTCCCATTACAGTGACAGAAGCTCCTCCCTGCCTGTCACTTAAGGGCACGGATGCCAACAGACTCACTTTCTTTTGCATGCAGAGCAAAAACAGGTTGTCCTGGAACTTCCCTGGTGATCCAGTGGCTAAGACTCTGTGCTCCTAATGTAGGGGGTGTGGGTTTGATCCCTGGTCTAGGAACTAAGATCCCACATGACTGTGGGGTGTGGCCAAAAAAAAAAAAAAAGAAATATATATCTGTCCCTTGATGGAAAAGACCCTGATGCTAGGGAAGACTGAGGGCAAGAGGTGAAGGGGACGGCAGAGGATGAGATAGTTGGACGGCATCACTGACTCCATGGACATGAGTTTGAGCTAGCGCTGGGGGATGGTGAAGGACAGGGAAGCCTGGCGTGCTGCAGTCCATGGGTCGCAGAGAGGTACGACAGGAGCGAATGAACAACAACCCTCTTGCTCCTCTATTCGCTCTTACTGACTCCTAGCTGATGGCCGTCAGTCCCACTGTGAAGTGTTACTTAAAAACCACAGCCTTTGGCAGCTGGTGCTCTGAAAGCCCTCGGACGATGTGCTGGAGGGCCGTGTGACTTCTGGAAGCAAGGCTGCAGCAGCACTGTTCCCACAGACCATGAGAAAACGGAAAAGGCATTCTCTTCCACTGTTTGGTTTCCATTCATGATTGTGTGCAGGTCAGTCAGCTGGAAATTTAAACAGAACTGTAACTTGTGTAAGGTGTGACCATGGATGGGGGCGAATTTCCAAGAGGTGGCCTACTTGCCTTTTATATGTTCAGCCAGGCACTCAGCTGAAAGAGGGCAGAACCTATAGTGGTGCAGGAGATGGGTACAGAGTATATTGGGGTCAAATGGTACACTATGGACGTTGTTTAAACTTAATTGTAATTTTAATAGCTCTAATACTATGAAACCAAGTTTTATATATTATACTGTCTGAAATATAATAATTCTTTTAAAAATATTTATTTACTTATTTGGCCATGCCAGACCCTAGTTGTGGCACTCAAGATCTTGGTAACTTTAAACATAGCATGGTAGCATGTGAGAACTCTAGTTGCAGCAGCAAGGATCGAACCCAGCTACCTGCATTGGGAGTGTGATGTCTTAGCCACTGGACCAAGGGAAAGTCCCAGAACTATAATTCTATGAGGAAAAATTCTGATTCAAGGTAGCCTATTATATGTTGTTATTATTTAGTCACTAAGTCACGTCCAACTCTTTTCGACCCCCATGGACTGTAGCTCACCAGGCTCCTCTGTCCATGGGATTTCCCAGGCAAGAATACTGGAGTGGGTTGCCATTTCCTTCTTCAGGGGATCTTCCTGACCCAGGGATTGAACCCTCGCCTCCTTCATTGGCAGGTGGATTCCTTACTATTGAGTCACATGGGAAACTCCAGTCTATTATATAGGTGTTAGCTAATCGTAGCATTAATTGCCAAGTCTGGCTGTATCTTTTTGTGTTTTTTTGGCCATACCATGCAACCTGTGGGATCTTAATTTCCTGATCAAATCCAGGCCCTCAGCAGTAAAAGTGCAGAGTCCCAATCACTGGATTGCCAGGGAAGTCCCAGGTTGTATCACTTTTAGCCAAGGGTAATTCAAACTCGATGGGCATGAGTTTGAGTAAACTCCGGGAGTTGATGATGGACAGGGAGGCCTGGCGTGCTGTGATTCATGGGGTCACAAAGAGTGGGACACGACTGAGCGACTGAACTGAACTGAACCCAAAGCCTTTGTAGCTGGCCAAGGAGAGATAAAATGCCCTTTACTGATCCCAAATCCTTGACACCATCTAGTAAATATGTTGTGCTCCTGTACCTGCTTTATTAATATTTATTCTTCCTCCTCCTCTTTCTTTTCATGTGTGCATATATCTGAGTCAGAAAGCACTTGGAAAACCACATGCTTGACCACCTCTGAGCTTCCAACAAGTTGTGTGTTTCTGGCATGGGCTGCAGAGAGGGGAGAAGCAGAGGGGGCAAAAGCAAGGAAGATCCCTCTCCTTCTGCCTGATACCCTCCCACTAGGACGTTGTGACTTTGTTCACAGTGAATCACTACAACTTTCATTTTCAGATAGAAGCACACATGTTTTAGTTTGTACACTAAGTCCCTGACATTTGGGGGTGAGCCTCTGCAACCCGTCACCACTGAGTGTTCAAGCAGTGTTAGGGTTGGGAGATTCCTTGACCACCAGCATCAACTATCAGAAACTCATACCAAGAAGATAATTACGGAGATGAAAAAAAAAATGTCCACATAGAAAGGAAATGCAGTTTCACAGTATGAACTGGCCATTTAAGAATAGAACCTAGAGGCTGAAAAAAAATTCAGGCTCCTAACATGTTTTTTCATCCAGTTTTGCATTATGGCCAATTAAGTTTGAAAACTTAAAGAATGAAGCTATGACTGATGCTACGCAGTGTTACAATGAAGGAAAAAAATCACCAAATCATGTAATGTTGTACTGTTAGGACTTCCCTGGTGGTCCAGTGGTTAAGATTCTGCCCTCCAATGGAGAGGATGTGGGTTCAATCCCTGGTTGGGGAAAGATCCCACATGCTGCAGGCGTGGGTGGTGGTGGGGGAACCACCCAAATAAACAAAACAAATTGAGCTCATAAAAAATATAAAATCAAATTTCTCTTTTAAAAAATTGTACTATTAAAATGTCTTTATATATTTGGATTAAAGAAATTATATCCAACTTTTTAACCTCTCTGGTTCATTTGACCAGGGCATATTGATAATACACATGCAAAATAAAGACATTCTGAACTCTATTATTAAAAAATAAGATAGAACTATGTTTCCCTAAGTATAATGCAATTAACAGGTACAGAATTTTCAGAAAGAAGGATCCCATGATCAGAAGTTTGGAAACCAGGTTCTTTTGCTACAGGACTAATAGATGTAGTAGATTTCCAAAAGGCAGCTAGAGAATGTGTGCTTCCCATATTATTTCAACAGAATACCTGTGGTAGGACTGGGGTCCCCTAGAATACACTTTTGGAAACACTGGAATAAACCATAAAGAATTAGAGGTATTCAAACCCAATACATTGCAAACTTTCCATTTCATGGCCTGGAGTCTCATATAGTGATAAATCACTTACCAATTTCATTACCTCACTCAATCCTAATACTTCTTTTAAACTAGACCTACCTCATGTAAACTCAAAATATTCTTTACAGAATCATTACAAAAGTATTTCATAGTATAAATAAAAACAATGCACTGCATATTTGAATCTTAGTACCTAGAGATATCACTGGACATGGTGCTGCATTTTCCCCAGCAAAATTTGTATCTTTGCACATCACATACACATTCACACACAGCAAAACTGGGATTATACTGTATTTTTGGCCAGCAGTCATCTAACTGGATGCATAAGAGCACGTATTTCTAAATCTCACAGGGCTGCATATACTGCAACACATCCAAGGAACATTTCAATCTGCTAAGTAAGTTACCATGAAGCATCCGTCCTGTGCCAAGAACTTTGGGTGGTCAATAAATAAATATAAAACACGATTGCATCCTGCTCTTCAGGAACTTGCAGTCTATCTGGGAGTGACAAAACAGATCTATGAAAGAATTACAGAACAATTACAAATGGAGAAATTTTGACTGTAAGGCAAACTCTGAAGAGAGTGACACCAGTGTGGCTGTGATCCCAGAAAGATCAGAGGAGGCAGAAGCTTGGCTTGGGTCTTTCAGGATAGAAAGGATGAAGAACAAGAGAAGCAAAGATCAGGATCAGGACCTGGTCTGCCCCAAGAGTGGTGAGGAAGATGGTGAGCTCTGAAATCCACCACTGCCTTGTGCCACTGCAATGCCCAATCTTGCTCTGGCCAGATACACAGCAGGAGAAGTTGCCAGGCTAGCAGAAAAGACTTTAGCAAATTCAGATTTTGGAATTTACTTTTTCTAGGAAGTAAATATACATGCCCCAGTGTCCATAACAAACAGATAAAATTAAAGAATAAAGATAGAATGACACAATGAATTTGGTTAGCAGACGTGTTTATTCTCCCATATTTGAAAGGCAGCAAATGCATCCCACCCCATGCTATCATTCTCAAGGTCATTTTCAGCAGCTATCCAACTGATGCTAGATTTCAGAAAGGAAGAGTGACACTGAGGGGGCCAGTTTCCCCTTTCAAAGTCCTCTTGTATACTCCTGTGCAAGAAATTCTGATTTATTTTCTCTCCCCTCCTAAATTACAAGTGACTCCTCTGTACCAGTGACTTCTTGGTCACAGCAACACAAGTAACCAAGTGTTTGTTGTCACTCCTCATCACCCCTGAAAGGGCACTGCAGAGTGTCTCAAAGAAATCAGGGCTGAATGAGCCTCATGCTGCATCCTGTCTCAGCTCCTCTGACCATGATGACACAACTAAAATACTCTTTATGTCACCCTCACTCGCCAACACCCCCTTCCCACTAACAAGCCCTCTAGTTATGATCTTGAATTGGCCATCCTAACCTTGCACTTGAGCCAAGGGTTCTGGGCTCAGTGCAAAGGAGATGATACATTTTGACCCCACCGTTGTACTGACAGATGTGGTCATCGTGGCGTCATGCATCTCCCTCTGGCTATGTTGTTTCTAGTCATCCTGTTTACACCACTTGATTCACTCGAAACAGCTTGGGGACAGGTGGGCGTTTCCCAATTACTGTCACTGGAGCTGCTTCCACTGAGCATTTTGGAGAAAGGTATGTGTGTGTGTAGGGAGAGTGTTCTCTTACACACAATGCATATTCCACGGCATGCTAAGATATAACCATACCTGTGCGTAAACTTCCATCCTGAGCTGTGTTCATCCATGCTAAGTTGCTTCAGTTGTGTCTGACTCTTTGTGATGCTATGGACCATAGCTTTTCAAGCTCCTCTGTCCATGGGATTCTCTAGGTAGGAATCCTGGAGTGGGCTGCCATGCCCTCCTCCAGGGGTCTCCCTGACCCAGGGGTCGAACCCATGTCTCTTCAGTTTCCTGCATTGATAGGTAGGTTCTTTACCACTAACATCACCTGGGAAGCCAATGATTATTATAATATTATATATCATAATACAATAACGGAGTGGGTTGCCAGTCCCTTTTCCAGGGGATCTTCTCGACCCAGGTATTGAACCCAGGTCTCCCGCATTGCAGGTGGACTCTTTACTGTTTGAGCCAGTGTTCAGTGTCAGGCAATTTACTGGAACCATACATTAGTCCTACCTGCAAAATCACATCTGATACTTCTCTCCTATAAGGGATCTAGAAAAATTTGCATTCTTTGGTCAAGCAGTACCTAGAGGCTGTGTCCCTACCTAGCAGAAGGAAACTCTTGGAGCTCTGGTTCAGTGGCTAACTCATTCGGGGACCCAGGCAAGTCCTCTGTCCCATGAGGTGTCCATTGTTTTTTGCTGAGAAAATTATGAATTGAGGGCTTTTTAGGTTTAATTAGTGAAAGGCATTTCTCCAACAAGAAAGCAAGAAAATTGGAAAATCACTCACTATAAACTTCAAATTCCCATAAAATGGCTCTTCCAAGCTTCTGAGAGAACACAAATAGTGACTTCTCTAGTGGTCCAGTGGTTAAGAATCCACCTTCCAACATAGGGGATGTGGGTTCAATCCCTGGTCAGGGAACTAAGATCCCACTGGCCTTCTACTTGACAACTACTGAGCCCGCGGGCTCTAGAGTCTGTGTTCTACAACTAGAGAAATGTCCACACGCTGCAACAAAGACCCAGCACAGCCAAAAAAGATAGAGAGACAGAACACAAATACTTCTTTCTTGAGGTCCCCTAGAAAAAGCAGACCCTTGTTGACTCTTTCTCTGAAGAAGTAGCCAGGAAGTTCTGCACTTAGAAAGTGCAAGAGTCACTGTCTTAGGGATAAGGGACTCACAGCTGGACTCAAGGACAACCCACGGGCTGGCCTGGTCCCAGCCTCCTGGAAGTGGAGGGCTTATCATCCTGAAGAGAACAGGAGAAGAGACCGCCCCATGACACCTCCATCAGTAAGATCTACACGGTTAATTTTTCAAAGTTGTTTTTGAGGACTAATTTTCCTAACTGTAAAATTCACTTGTTTCAGAAGTGCAATTCACAATTCTTAGTAGATCTACAGAATCGTGAATCTATCACCCCATCCAGTCTTAGAACACTTCCATCATCTCAAAATGGGTCCTCATGTGTGCTCTGAAGTCAATCCCCAGTCCCCTGCCCCCATCCCAGGCAACCACAAATCTTCTATCACTACAGATTTGCCTACTCTGTTTTTTTCATACAAATTTGTTGACTTTTGCATCTGACTTTTTACTCGGCATAATGTATTTGAGGTTCCTCCATGGCACTTATGGCATGCATCAGGAGTTCATTCTTTTTACAACTGGATAATAGGGCATATGGCTAGTCTATATTTTGCTTATCCAGTTATCAGTTGATGGCCAAGGGTACAGTTTCTAGTTCTCTGGCTACTGTGAATAACACTGCTATGAACACTCATATATTCAGTAAGTCCCCTACATATGAACCTGCAAGTTGCAAACTTTCAAAGATGTGAACATGCGTTCCATCAATGTCAGGTGTGAGAGACACTGCAGCCTGCCCTCCGTCTCCTATCGCTGATGATCCTTCAGCTCTACCATCTCCCACCTCCACTCCCTCCTCCGGGCAGTAACTCTTCTTGCCTGTTCACTTGATGCCAGACCCTGTATGCCAGCTGTTATCCTGGACTACTGTACTTTTCAGGTTTCTGTACTGTAAGGTTAAAATGTTTTATTTTTGTTTGTTTTTATGTATTGTTTGTGTGAAAAGTATTATAAGCCTATTACATATTACAGTACAGTGCAATATAGCACATTGTGTTAGTTGGGTACCTGGGCTATCTTCGTTGGACTTAGGAAAAAATCGGACTTAAGAATGTACTCTCAGAACAGAACTTGTTTGTATGTTGGGGACTTACTTTAAGTCTTTGTACAGATATGTTTTCGTTTCTCTTAGATGGACTAGTTAAAGTTTTAGCTGATTTACTGACACGTACTGTGAGGCATAGGGCAGACACACCCCCTTTCCTAGGGGAGCTTGTCTGTCCAAGTGTTGGGGTTTACGGTATCCACGTCGTAGATGGGTCAATGTCTCCAAACTGACCCACACAAGACACAATTGATGGCTGCTCTGGGAACAGAGCCCCTACCCTTTTCTTTTTCTGGATTGCCCAGGGAAGAGGGCTTGATGAACGATTTTCCCAATTGCTGATCACTGACGCATATATCCTTTCAGGGCCTCGTCACCCAATGAAACAGCTTTTATAAAATCAGGAGCTTGGAAGAAAGCTTTTGTTTATGGCCATTTTGCAAGTGTAATTCATCTCCCAAATATGCAGTTTGGGTTTTGTTTACCTCATCTACTCATTAAATACTTGCTCAGTGAATTTGCGTGTGACTGTTTCTTTTACAACGTGGTTTGGAGGGAAGGGAAGAAAAGGCTGCCATATGTGTAAGGCCACCCCAGGCCCTGGGTGTCCCCAAAGAAATCCTGATGTCACATATCCTGATGTATGATGCCCACCTGCACTTGTCAAACTGTTTGTATCCCTGGCCTCTGGGTCAGAAAATATTCCCACTATTCATGCATGATGAAGGCTCAGTCACACTCCTGTCTGGCAATGGGCCCTGGGAAAGATGGACTCCACAGATAATTAAAGCTGACCCTGAGTAAGGGAGAAGAAGAGGGCACAGGGAAGCAAAGGGCAAGTGATGAGCTTTGTTGTTTTTTGTTTTTTGTTTTTTTTTAATTTTTTTTAGACTGTGTGGTCATGCCATTGCACTGCTTGCAGGATCTTAGTTCCCCAACCAGGGAATTGAACCCAGGCCCTTGGCAGTGAAAACGTGAAGTCCTAACCACTGGACCCCCAGGGAATTCCCCATGTGACAGTTAAACATACAGTATATATGCTCTCTGCCAGGAGATTACACACCTTTTTTCAAAACCTTGCCTTAATGTTGGCAGAGTATGACTGTTCTTCCTTTGCAGGACAGCTGAGGGTCTCACAGTTAGTTTCCCAAGGTCACAGAGTAGTGAGGGGCTGAATGCAATTCCAAGCATCTGTCTGACCCCAAAGTACCCAGAGGAATGAACAGCATCCTTATTCTTCCCTTTGGAAGTGATTGGTGCTGACCACCCTGGTCACATCTGCCGATCACTAAAGAGGGGCTTTAAGTTTTCAAAAGGACAGACTCTATTTTTAAATTTGGAGCATCCTGAGTGTGTATGGAACTCTGGGCTGGGGTTCACCAACATGAAATGAAGACTTTTGTGAGCTGAGTGTCTATGTCCTCCTTCAATTTATACATTAAGACTGTAACCTCCAATGGCTGCATTTGCAGTTGAAGCCTCTAAAGTCATAATAGAGGTTAAATTAGGTCATAAGGGTGGGGCCCTGATCTGATAGGGTTGGTGGCCTTATGGGAAGAGAGACAGCAGGGAGCTCATCCTGTGCACATAGAGAGAAGCTGAAGGAGGACACAGCAAAGAAGTGGCTGTCTATAAGCCAGGAAGAGCACCTCCACCAGAAGCCAACTTTGCCTACACCTTGATCTTGGACTTCCAACCTGCAGAACACTCAGAAGATAAATGTCTATTAAGTCATCCAGGCGGTGGTACTTGGTCATGGCAGCCTGAGCAGATTGGCCTGAGGGTGTTACAGTGGGGAGTGCACTGTGCTTGTGAAGGTGTGAGGCACAGACCGAGGGCTGTCACTGTGCAGGAAGTGGTGACAAGCTGTGGATGAGTATTTATTGTGATAACTTCTTAGAAGAAATACCACCATATCGTAACCAAGAGAAGACTGAAGAGGCATGTGTTATGGCATGCTAGGCAGCATCCTAGAACAGAAAAAGATGGTAGGTAAGAACCAGAGAAATCTGAATAGATATGAATTTTAGTTAATAATAAGGCATCAATGTTGGCTCATTAATTGTGATAAATGTATCATACAATAGAAGATGTTAATAACAGAAGAAACTGGATGTGAAGTATATAAGAACTCTCTGTACTCTCTGCAACTTTTCTGTAAATCTAAACTGTTCTAAAATAGGGCATCCCCAGTGGCTCAGTGGTAAAAAATCCACCTGCAATGCAGGAGACATGTGTTTGATCCCTGGGTTGGGAAGGTCTCCTGGAGAAGGAAATGGCAACCCACTCCAGTATTCTTGTCTGAAAAATCCCTGGAGAGAGGAGCCTGGCAGGCTATAGTCCATGGGGTCGCAAAAGAGTCAGACACGACTTAGCGACTAAACAACAATTCTAAAATACAAGATTCATTAAAAAAAAAAAAGAAAGGAATAACTGCCATGGATGACTACATTAGAAATACGAGGTACATCTCTGAATTGCTTAAGCCTTTGCTATAATTCCTGGAGATTAACATGTAGAGATAGATGACGACATGGCAGCTGCAAAGTTGTTTTTTTTTTTTTTTTTTGCAAAGTTGTTTTTAAAAAACAAAATTATTTCCCTGGTGTGGATACAGAATTGGGAGGTGAAGGAAGGCTGCTTTTTAAAAGGGGGTGGAGCTGG